CAAAAAATCCCCTTAAAGACAAAGAAGAGTTTACGGCTGATGACCTGACCAAGACTGAGCTGAACATGATAGTGAGATTGTTCAGCGCGTACGGCCTCCGGCACAGCCTTTCAAGGTAGAAGAGGCGGAGGCGGAGAACCCATGAGGCAAAACCTGCAAAAAACAGCTGGCAGACTTGATCTAGCGATTTCATCAACCGGAAGTTGCACAACCAAAAAGCAAAAACACACCCGCTCACTATGTCGATATGAAAGGCTCTTTCCTATTTCACGAAGATAACAACAAATCTAAGTTCTAGGTGATGATACAATCATGAAACCATCATTTTGAATATTATATTCCATTTATGCTAATAAATTCCCCGAAATGCTCCACAGCATCCAGTACACAGACCTTATTGAGACAAAGGAAGAAAATATATGAAGAAAAACCTGCCTTTGGTGAGGACTAATAGACAGCTGTCTCACTCATTCAGCACCACCATCACTTCCAAAAGACAAATTGACCTCCCTCATCTTTAAAAACGTGGACTAATCCTATGGTCATAAAGGCTGGGTCTTTTCCTGTGTTTCCTCAGGAGGGTGGCTGGCGTCTCCTTTAGAGATGAGAAGGAGGTGAGAAGCTCAGCTATCCGTGAGGAGCTCGGAGTGGAGCCGCTGCTCCTTTGTGTGGAAAGGAGCCAGTTGAGGTGGTTTGGGCATTTGGTAAGGATGCCCTCTGGGCTCCTCCCTGGGCAGGTTTTCCATGCGAAGCCAACTGGGAAGAGGCCCAGAGGTTATTTCTCCACACTGGACTGGGAACGCCTTGACACGCGAAAACAAGACAAACAATCTTTTCTACCGTTTTGACAGGTTACACTCATGCCACTTAAAAATGTCCCGGCAGCTGTCGTTAATGTTTGTTACATATTTTGACACGTGAGGAAGCAGAAGTGTGCCTGCACCACAATTACTTCCGTGCATTGATTCCTTACTGTGCTATCAAATGAAGCATGTATGTAAGTATGTAAGTGAATACAGCTTACGAATGCAATGTGACAGCAGTGCAAGTTTTAGGATACAGACTTTCACAAAAAAAAGCCATCTTTGCGATATAGTGTAGCTGGATGAAAGTCTATCAACAAGTGAACATCTTGTTGTTCTCTGGTTTCCTTCAACTTCCAGAGTCACAGGATATAAATCCATTAAAGCTAAACTTTATGACCCTGTACCTCTGTCTAATAATATAATAACAGTGAAAAACATCAACAAAAATATGTGTGTTCTGGTAACTACAATTAGTGATAACTATAATAAATAAAGATACAAAAAATACTTGAAAATGATAGAAAATGATTGCGGATCCGTCAGACATTGTAATTACCATGGTAGGAGTCTTGCATAAAGGCTGAAATGGGGGTGCTAATGCTGCATAGGACGAATAACCTTCAAAAGCCATCAGGCTTTTGAAGGTTAAAAAGCCGGCTGATTTTTCTTTCCTCTTCCTCTTATTTTCTGTGAAAATGATTTTTCTCAGATTTAAAATCCCTTTTTTAATGCTTCTCCTTTCACTCGGGGATATTGTGAGGCGTAGCCAGTAATGGTCTCAAAGCCTTTTCACCTTTATTGTGACTTTTGTCCTCTCTTATCTTCTTGACATATGAGGCAGGCATCTCATGTGGCACAGTGTCATCCACCCACATCCAAAGCCGAGGCATGCAGGCGAACACTTCCATGAGACACGGGAGCCATTTAACAGGGCAGAGATGCTAGAGACAATTGGAAGGAAGGCAGTTGCAAATGTCACACCTCACCCGATGGATGAAGTTTTTTGGAGCATCAAAGACAACATAGTGTACATTTCTAAACTATCTTGTTCTTTCATAAAACATTCTTGCATGTTTTTTAATGAGCTACAACTCACCAGTTATCAATCCATTTAGTGCGCCAACCGTGCAAACGGGTTCACTGTCTCAGCGAAATGAATAAATAAATAAACAACCATCTATTTTGAATAAATAAATTTAAAAAAAGTGAAGTCATAAAAAAAAAATCTACAATGCATTATTGATTTGATGAGAACACATCCGCAGACGGAGCAGTGCCACTGTTCTGCTTCCTCTACGTCTTGCTGGAGTTTCGTCATCCATTCACTGGCACAGCTGCAATATGTCAGAACAAACACAGTTCAGCACATCTGTTCCACCTGTGCATTTTCCAGAGCGGGACACAGTGGTTTATTGACACAGTAGAGGCCCCTTGGATGATTGAAGAGGATTTCAAATGTATTGCATATGCATTATTTAGATTCCAGCAAAATGCAACAAAAGGCCTCTAAGAAAAAAAATCAAAATGTTTTAATCAAAATAGCATAGCAGTATGTATAAAGAGAATATATTCATAAGGTTTATGCAATGCACCGAAAACATTTATTAATAACAACTGCCTGAGCTCGTAGTAAATCAACAGGGCATTTGTTGGTGAAATATATTTAGCAAGGACATATTTTTCTATACAGGTATGTTTTTACAGCTAATAGGGCTTAATGTGGTGTTAGGCATGGATTAAAACTCCAACACCCACCTTGTAATGGGGAATTCCTTAAGGTGATTATTTATTAATCCGCAGGAGCCTACTGAATTGCCCAGCGGGTGAGTCCATGTCTGCACCGAACCCTCTCACAACACCGTGCCGGCTGCCAAAGCAGAGTTTGCTAGCAAGGCTTGGCAGGACATGAATAAACCAAGCCTGCCGTGTCATTCCTGTGTATTTCGTCTTTAAGGAAGCAGTATGCATCGACCAATCGAGCGTAGATTTTCAGCTCTATTTTGAGCATGGAAAAATACGTTGTTTGTTACATTTGCAATGCAAATGCCATCAAATCCCACATCACTCTTGCATGAGCGCAATACTTTAATATATAGTCAGTGAAATGCATATATTGATGGGTATCAACCAGACCTTTCTCTACACAGCATGCAGTAGCAAAGTAAAACAAAATACAAATAATTAAACTGAAAAACCTAAAATATTCCAAGATTGTTCCCTTCGGCAGGCACATTTCTCGCCTCCTCATCTTCTGAAGGAGTGAAGGACAGGGTCAGCCAACAACGACAACACAGAGCTTAGCACATCCTCACAGAACCCGATTAATATTTTAGCACAACGCAGTTAACTCGGGGTACATATCCCTTTTTTTTTTTTAACTGGCGCTCCCCATCTTCTTTTTTGATCTGCTGCAACGTGCCACTGAATCCCAAGTCATACTCTTCGCCTGTCATTCTGTGCCAGTACCATCTATAATAGATACAACCAAGCCACTTCTTGCTATTGATGGCCATGTGTAATGCGGGAAGAATACCCTTCCCGTAAGATCGTAGCTGTGGCTGGACTGGCCCTAACCTTCACCCTGAGATACTGAATTAGTCATCCATCAAGGCGATGATTTAAAACGAGGATTCTGTGAATGTAAGACATGGGGTCCCAGAGGGGGCCGGGTGGCTGCCCTTGATAGCCGCTCGTGCATATGTTGCTTTGAGATTCAGCGAAGGATCCGTGCAAATTGCATCATTCCTCCTCAACAGGCTATGCCCTCCACATCTCCTTGGAGTGAATCTAAATGGCTTAGAGTGCTTGTATTTTCCTCAACAATAAATTGAAGTAGACATTGTGAGAGATGGTTTGGCTTGGATGTGAGGCCTTATGAAAGCTTTCCCCTGCCAGCTATTCTATGAAGGTTATGGAGTGGTTAGTCTATGTCAAGATATTCTGTATCAGCTACGGCTCTTTGTGAAACCAATAAGTTAGACGCGCGAACAAGAGTTGCTAATTGGGTGAGAGTCTCTTGCTGTGTCAGCTGGCCACTAGCTAGCCCCTGATAATAATACATGTCCACTTTCCTAAAATAGGCTGTCAAGCTGAGGAAACAGAGATTGGTCAACAACTCTGAGGCCACATGTGACTCATGGAGCTAAGAATAAGCAGAAACCTTAGCACGTCAACAGTCACCACCAAGTCAGCCAGTCATCAAAGACAAGGTATCAGAACCGTGTCTTCAGCAACTGCAACTACAACAACAGCAGAAAGTCTGCAATGGGCAGCGTGAAGCCCTCTGGCTGTTTTATCTTCAAAAGAAACAAGTATTTAGCAAACAGCCTTAAACGTAGAGGGACATTCTATTGCTCCAAACCAATTATGAGTAAAGGTTTTATCATACAACTGTGCACCAGAACAGAAGTGAGCACCATTATTTCTATTTGATTCTCTGTCCTCTACTCAAGTCAGGTTAGGTATGAAATAAAAACCAAGTTAATTAAATACAATCAACATTAAACCCCACTTTCCCCCCCAAAAAAATATCTACACCAGACTCTGAGCTCACTTTGAGTTTATGTCTTTGCATTCATTGTGATAAATGATTCAATGACGAATAATACAATAATGTGTCAGAAAATCCTATTTTTTATCACGTTGACACAGGTGACCACACCAAGTCAATTAATCTGAACACAAAAGGACACTCACTCCACCTGTTCTTCAACACTGCCTTTCAGCTGCCATGTCCGGCAACAATAACATTCTTGCTGTAGGTCTTCCGCTCACCGTAGCATTATAATAGTTAACCAATACGAATGAACACAAAACATGATATCAAATGAAATGTACAAGACTTTTGCATTTTTTCCCCCCATGCTGAAGTTTGTATTCCATAACCACAGTTGTACAGTCAGAGGTGACACATTACGAAGCCCCGGCGCAATGTTTCAGTTGATTCCGTCATGGGCCTCGTCTCTCTCCCAAACCAAGCCCGCCTCTTGGCAACTTAATCATGCGCGTCGCCAGTCAAACTTGATTTATTGTCACCAAGCCCACCCATCTTTTCTGTCTCTTCTTTCTCTGCTAGCGATCATCTCAGCCTCTCCTACAAACAACAACAGCCGCTCAGCTGTTTCTCCCCAGGCCAGGTGCTCTCAGTCAGCACAGCCTCCAGTCCAGGCCACACAACTGTTTGTGTTCACTCACCCTTTTGCCCTCTTTGCCCGGTTCCCCCGGCTGGCCCGGCAGCCCGGTCGATCCCTGGGGATGAGGAAACAGAGCGGAGTGAGTTGGGTGCTACATTCATGTGGTATTGCAGGAAGATATTATGGCATGCTGCTGATGCAGACAGATGTTTGTGCCACATGTGCTCAATAGACCAGTGAATAAACAGTGGGCTCATTTGCAGTGATAGGTTAGGCAGCAATAGCTGAGATAAAATTGCATGAATAGATTGATGGTTGTATTTACAGCTGCAGTTTCTATTTTTGCTTATTAAGATTTTCGAGGGCACTTCTTGAAGATTCCATTAATAGGCAATTTTCAGCATCGGTTGATTTTCCCATTATTCTACACAGTACAATTAGTAAGTCGGTCAAGGTAAATACTGAGTAATGATTTAGTTTGGTTCTTGCACAAAGACACACTTATTGTGCCTCAATAATTGGTTGTTGAAGCTAATAGTTGTTCCTGATTGCTTAAAACACAGTTTTGCTCTGTCCAACAATAAAAACAGAAGATAATGAGATACTTTAATGAAATGAAACAATTTGTGTATCACCTTCTCTCCTTTGTCCCCCGGCGGCCCCTGAATGAATGTCACAAAAAACAATTTCTGTTAACAACAAAACGTAATACCTAGTAACAATAAAAAGTAATAACTCGAGCACACAATGTTTTGATATTTTTTATGAAATCAATATCAATTTGGGTACCTGATCTCCTTTGAGACATTCTTTGTCAGCCTAGGAATCAATCAACAACAAACAAAAAACGTCTGTCGGTGTGAAAACAAGACTCGCGTCATTCATAAATCTTTTAACGATACATGTTTTTTTTAGGTACAGATAAGCAGCACAGTTGGTCAGGAGCTGATTCTCTTTTGGCTGCGGTGACCCGGAGAGAGGTCAGGGCATTGCTTTTACAACTCCCCCGACGCCCCGCTGGCCACTGTCATGAAAGGGCAGACAGTCGTCAATCCAGCAGGTCGCAGAACGGACCCAAGGACACATACGACATCTCAGCTTTCAAATACAGACCAAATGATTGGTGTCCTCTTTCAATTGGCATCCCAAAGTCCAACTCTGTTGACTTTTCTTGGAAACAGCTGGAGAATTTGCATTTACGCCGCATTTACGCGTTAGTCAGAGGCCTCGTGTAAAGAAAGAACAATAAAAGGAGATAAAAAATAACAAGAAGCCCTGACACCGCTGCGATATTTGCAGCTGCATCTATGAGAAAAGAGTGACAGCTCTGACCTTTGGCACCCTAAATCAAACATGCCTTAGTCTATGCAGTGCTTTTGGTTATGAATACATTATTCATGAACAGTCGTCCAGCTTTGGTTGGAGTTTTGACCTTGGGTAACAAGCAACACAGTGCTCAATGCAGTTTCCCCCACTAACTGAATAAAATTTTCTGCTCAAACTCACCATCCAATTTACTGGCATCGTATGAGGACGTTTTAAAGTTTTGCTCTTTCGCTTGTCTTTATAAATGTAAAAGTTGCTTTTAGAGAAAAGCTCATGGATGGCAGCAGTGTTCCTCTGGTGTTGTAGGCACCGTGTTGACATAAAAGGGGCAAGCCAGATGCAGTGGCACTCTGCTCTGTTTTTGTATCACTCCACCAGTGATTAAAACTGGCAGGCAGATCCCCCTCATAATTAGCTACTCACCCGCAGTGCACCTTTAATCTCCAGCAGCCGTCAACTCCCTGGCTACAATGCATCCAGACTGTGTGTGTGTGTGTGTGTTTGTTATCTGTGCCCACTGATTCCCTATACGTGATGATATGGGGACTATACAAGCATCCGCTAGTGCATAGATCTGCAGTCCGCCGATATATGCACCTTCAATCTGTCGGCGCACTGGAACGAGCACTCATTTCTGTTGTGTCCTCTGTCCTCTCGGTTTTACAAGACCACGGAGAAAGTGCTGGTACAGCCGGTCCAATTACGAGATAGAGATGCATAAATTGTTGGTGTCATTCTGCCCTGGTGTCTGCGAAGAAGAAGTCAGCAGGGACAAACACCTAACCGGAACGTGTGTGTCTCACCCATGTGGGACAGAGCGAGCGAACTACCTGTCAAACGCCACTATCACCTGGAGCCGAGGAGCTCTCTTCTTCTCTGCCTGGCTAGTCGCCCTCAGGCCTTTTTTGGCCGAAGTGAGCGCTGAGCCCCGTCTATCTGCTCATTGTTTCGACCCATTCCCAGGTAGTGGCAATGTGGCACACACACACACACACACACTGATCACCAGAGGGCCTCACTTTCCATTTCTGTGTGACAGATGTTTTCACACTGTGTGCAGCAACTGGTCGGCCAAAAGGCTGCCAAATGTACGAAGCTTCACAAACGGGGTTAAATGTTTGAACTTACAGTCAGCTCCGGAGCTCCAGGCACACCAACATCACCCTGTGAAGGAATAGAATAGTAAGTAAAAAAAAAAGTCTTTAAACTTTAGTCAACTGCGTCTTTAACATTTTGTTTGCATTAGAAAGGGTAGCACAGGCTAAAACTAAACCATATATTTTTTACTTTTAAACATCTGGCATAAATGTCAGTCATAATGTTTCTCATAAGGACCGAAGGTCAGTATTTTTACTACGCGTAGCAGTAATATCTCAGTGTGCACTATGGTGTTTGCAGTATGTCTTGAAATGAAGTCTGATGACTTTCAAACTGAAAGGTGCCATTAAATGCGACAGGCCTTAAAATAAACACAGCCGTACTACATCATGTGAAGGCTTTGCAGTGCAGTGTTAACAACGGCCCGGTGTGATTACATTGTTTGGTGACTGTGACATACAGGCAGTGGAGAAAAGTCATATAAGGGAAGGAGTCGAGACCTTTTTCGCGCAAGCATAATCCGGTGTAAGCAATGATTTTAAATGCATTTTACTGCTGCACTAGTTTTTTTGGTCTTTTCAGATGAAACCTCTGTGTCATTGTCCAATATTTTTGCAATCTCCCCCCTTCACACCACAATCCCAGCAGGTTTTTATCAAGCCCCGACTAGAGGATCAGTGAACTTTAGATCCGGCGATACCTGTTTATCAGATGCGGATGAAAAGGGGAAAAAACAGCGGTTTGTAGTTCATATCCGTTTTGTTGTCTAAATTAATGTCACAGCAAAGATATGCCTGCTATGGAATATACAAGGGACTCATTACTCCATGCTTCCAAATCTGCCTCCATCCGTCAGTTTCAATACAAACAAACATTCCCTCCACTCCCCCCTTTCCCTCCATCCCATCCGGAAAATAGGATGAAATACTCTGTGATTCTCTGTTGTCTTCACAGAAACACAGACCTCATTATAACTTCAAGGCTGGCAGACGCGGCATTGCACCTACAATTATGTGATGAGTTCTTCCGTGAAGACAAAAGCTGCAAAAAAAAAAAAACGCCCAATACGAGAGGAAAACGAAAGAACTGGATATGGCGACTAATTACAGAAAAAAAACCACTTCGTCCTTTACATGGAAAATAATCCCATTTTTTGGATGGAAAGGAGAGTAAAGTCTAAAACAGATCAACACTTTCTGCATTGCAACAAGGGTTTATCTAATTCATGTCGGTGATTTATCATTATTTAAGAGACTATATAAGGGTAGCGGATAAGAACAATGTTACGCATAAGACTCCTCTACTCCACGTGCAGCTTGTCTGAAATCACAGGATTATCAAACCAGTCACAGCCGAGGGAGCAGAACACACCTACATGCTTCTAGGATTTCTAATATTTGGGACCAAATATCAAACATATTTGGAATCAAGAGTCCTTGTGAAGAGCCCACAAACAATATAGAAAAAATATGCAATCCACTTCTTTGCTGTAGGCCTTACTCTAAAAAACTCTTTGAAGAGAGCAAGATAAAGGGATTTTGTTGAATATTTCTATTACAACCGGCTAACCCTATGAATATACAAATACTCTGCAAATATAATGAATGGAACATATTCTCTGAGCCGGTCTATAAGCTTTTCTATAGGACCATCAACATAGCAATAACAATATTCTTTGGCTGGAGTAGCAATCATAGCAGCACTTCAAACAGATGGGCAAACCTGTTACCGAGGCTACAGCTCATGAAAGTCAAGCAGGTTCCCTGAAGTATCTATTTTCATTTTGGAAAAAAAGAAGAAAAACAACTATGGTGTGATATAGTTTGGTGCCAGTCTCTGAGGCAGACTCACTCACTTTGTTTCCTTTCAGACCAACTGGGCCAAACAGCCATAGGTCACCTTTTAGACGACCCTGGGAATAAAAAGTATACATAATATATTTAGAAGTGCGTGTCTTTTCAGTGAGAGTTAAGGATTCAAAAAAATGGTTTAAAAAATAGCTCTGTATGTGTCGGTGTGCTTACGGCCAAGTTTCTCACGCAGGTGTGAGATTCTCCTGCTAATCTCAAGTTAATGAGAGAAGAGCGGATCAGGTCACTCATCAGACGGCACTGCCTAGATTCACCAGCATCTGCGTACGCAGTTTTCTGCCCCAGACCCCTTCCTCTGCCCCCTGGTCACACATGTTTCAGAGGACGGTGATAGTCATTGCTTTTACACCCGGGGTGGAATTGAACTACATAAGCTCGGGGCAAAGTCAAGCCACTCGGGGGGGGTGAAATGTAAAAAAGGAGTGACAGCTGAGATAATAAGTGAAAGTTGATGAATGGGGCTTGACGCAGATTGACAGGCTAAATTTTCAGCCGGCCTTGTTAGGTGTGACACATTGGGGCCAGCAGAAGCAGCTGCTGGAGATGGGTAATGGGAAAATGGGGAGCGTGAGTGGTCTGAAAAGTGATTTAGAAATACAATAATTTGTCATAGCTAAATTCAGAGTTACGGGCTATTAATAGCAAATTATATATCTGCAGAAGATGATTACCTGCCTTTGTCACATTAAGTCTGGCTCCACGAGGGACGTGACTAATGCTTCGCCTATTCCCTGCAAGCCCCATATTAAACGCTACCACTCAGAAAAACAGGAGCCGTGGTTGTACTGGTGTAAAACAATTGCCCTCACGGTAACAACACGTAATGCAGCGCGCCTATAAATTGGGTTTATGAAGACGTGATTGTGACATGATTTTATACGTCCATGCGGAGCCTCTTCTCATGCACACTGTCAATGACAGGGCAGCTGTCCCGTAGCTGTACATGAGAGGCCTAGTCCTCATTCAAATCGACAATCCACAACCACCTTACTGGGGCAAACTGGCAGAAGCAAATTCCCCTCTGAGTGATTACCAGAGCCGTGTCACAAACAAAGGAGTACAAGGCTCAGCTGATAACGAGCACGTCAGTAACTTCCGGTTCGGTCAATTACGGATGAGATTTTGATTAATCGTGTGAGAAATTTGCCACCATTTTTGCAATGAGGAGATCTTGTCTTGTTGCTGTGGTGATAGACACGTAATCACAATCGAAGCTTTTTGTTTGCGACAAGCACATTTAAACACACTTAATAAACAATATTACTACACATTATTCACTTCACTAATGTCGCCATCCAAATACGTCAGCATCATCTATTAAATTATGATGGTGATTCATCCAAAGGCAGAGGAAATTATTTAATATATTTGAATACAGTAAATAATATACATAACCTCAATGTCAGTATCCTGCAAAAAGATGACTGCTGAAAAATGGCAATGACAAAATCTAGAACACAACTGCTTGAAATGAAGCCCTTGAGCTATTCATACATTTTAATAATACAATTGGGTTCTTTCATAAATCAGATATTTTAAAAGTTATACTTTTGTGTATTAAAAGTACTTTCTCCTCCCAAGCACCCTCTCCCACAAACTGCACACACAAGGCAATGTGTTTACATAAGAGTTGACGAGGAACTGCCAGGATTCAAACTCAGGAGGTATTTTTCGGGAGGGAAGCAGGTGAATATAAAAAGAACTCCCACCACATATTCAATAACAGTTGCTCGTCCTGTTTTAAGATTTTAGCTAAACGTTATTACCTGCTGTGTCTCAAAAGTGTGCCAGACATAAACGTTTCCTGCTGGTAAATATTGTAAATGGCAAAAGTCAACAAAGCAATTTGACTCCAGAATTTATAAGTGACAGTGGTAACAATGAAACAAAAGCACTCCCTCAACTTATGGTGAGTGATACTCAAATCCTCTTATGCTTGCAGTTGTTCATTTACAGCACATTGTTTGGCAGAGACAAATGAATGTTTTTGAGAAAAACTTGGCTCAACTATGATTACTCATATAATTAAAAGACGGCAGTATTGTCATTGATATAACCTGTGGAACTGCACAGCATCTGGACTTGTCTGTAGCAATATGCATAATTGCAAACAGTGCCATCCACTTTTGTTTTCTACGGCTTTTGGCGGTCTTGAAAATTTAGCATTAAATCTTATTCAGGGATTTGCAAAATAAACGTGCACAGGTTTTTACTAGTTTCTCCAGTTCCCCATAAACGTTATCACGCACATTGTGCTTGAATATTTCAACGACAGTTTTGGGTATCTTGCATTAGAGGGAGAAACGATTTCTTCTCAAATTGAAGAGCATATCAATTTATTTTGTCAACTTCCTTTTATGTGATGATTAAAACTGTCAAAATCATGTGATGTAAACCTATATATCTGGATATATAGGTTTATTTACTTAGTTACAGAAGGTTTCAATTAATTCAACTTCAAGACAGTAGAAATTTAACGTTAAAAGCAAATACTGTATTTAATCAAATTTACACACATGTTTTGTCCTTGGAAAAATCTACTTTTTTATGTCAACTACCACTTTTATTTATGTCACTGTGTAAAGATGTGCCAGGGTACTGTCTTATTCTCTCTCTCTCTCTCTCTCTCTCTTCTACAGGCAACCAAAAGGTTCCTTAATGTTGTTTTCAGTAAAATAAGGTGTTAGAAATGAGAAAGATATTCTGGTTTCTGTTAAATACCAGCAAAACACATCTAATTTATCTAGATGAATAGGGAAAATATACCTACATTTTAATTATGTTTATATATTATTACATTGGAAACACGTACAGTCGTTGTCTTAAGAGGTGATTAGATGTTTGCTATTCCAGATGATGTTTCATACTTGAGATGGGACATTTTTGACAATTATCAAATTACATCATAGCTGCTAATTAAGTCTTGCTGAATTGGGCCAATTTAAAACAGCGTAGTTCAGACTTACATTTCAGCTATTGCTTTGTAAACAACCATTCTTAGATCCAACTCGCCATGACTCGGTCGATCGAAAAAAGTAGCTTGCGAGCCAAAAAGAAGGTGTGCGCCCCCCTGTTCTACAGCCTAGTTAGGATGCAGATTTTGGTCTAATCACAATGACACAAAGGCAGATGTAGAATTGAAGGCCTGGATATATTGTAAGCTTTTTTTTTTGCAAACTGTTTACAGGGAAGGACGAAGGAGGGATTAAGGAGCTGGAAATACGCCGGTGCTGGTTGTGCGGCTGTCGTTTCTGCAGCACGAGGTCAGAGCACTGCAGGGAGCTGTGTACACTTGCTTGCTAATTACACACACCACTGTGTCTTGTCACTCCTGTAGCGGTGAGGCCACAAGACAATCTGGCAACTCCCCGGCACAGCAGCACTAAAGCAAGAGAGAAGCAGGGATGTACAAATGCAGTCTAATTATGTTTACTTCTACCATTTGCCAGGCAGAGCAGCTGCAGGCCAGTGCCCTTGTCTGAAAAGAGGCAGAGTAAATTGCAAGTTTTAGTTAGCGTACACAATTAAATCACCACAACCTGGGTTTGGCCTATTGGGAAGAGGCTAAATCAAAAAGGCACTACTCAAATGTATTCGGGAGATTGTGGTGGAGAAATGTTGTAATACTGATTGACAGGCCGTTAAAGCTCCGTGGAACAGGATCTCTGAGTAACATAGATATCTTGAGTGCCGGCCTACAAATTCCAGGGAGGTTACAGCAGGAAATGCCCTTTGTGGCTTTCCATTTGCTCAGCAATACAGTGCGGTGATATAAGACCAATCACATTGAGTGCTGAAAAAAGCTTAGTAAAATTTACACTTTCCAGGGTAACGTAAAAAAGGGCCATTGTGTCATGATATCGAAGTTCATGCTCTAGATATCATGTTCGACCAGCGTTGCTTGACGTTTCTACATCACCTCGCTCTTCAGCTGAACATGAATCCACAAGATAACATGGTGTGCACTCCCTCTGTCCCACAGGTTGCGTATCTGCAAAACGACACTAGGTCACATGCTCATGCACGGCATTCTGGGTTCTCAGGTGTCCAGTCGCGCCTGAAATAACATACTGGCTTTAAAAATGGAATATGAGCAAATTGCAGTAATGGGACACATCGGGTGTCTCACAGTAAATGGGTTAACTGAAACCTTCGAGAAGAATTATTTGTCCAAATCTATATTTTTATTTATATACATTTAACGGTATTTTACTTACTATCTTCTCCACAGAGAAACATTCACTTCAGTAGCCGAGCGTTTTTTTACTATAATAAATCAGTCAATCACTGTTGATGACAGATCAAATGATATATAGCAGAATATTTTATTCATAAATACTTTATATTAAATTACATACATGTCTATGTGTATACTATAAAATAAGGCTCCCACAATTTTACAGGTCTCTAGGTACTATTCAACAGCCAAAAGCACTGTTGCGTGTCTGCATTGCAGAACAGAACATCTGCAGTCTAGGATTCTGCAAATGATGTCTATTGGGCATTCTCAAGTCTTTTAGAAGTGATTACTGTAAGTGATTAACTGGCTAAGAAGGGGTATCCTTATTTAGTGTATGAGGCTTAACCTCATTCGCTCACTTACGGAGGCACTGGGCATACTGGTTTTAACCCATCATGTACTACCACTCAATGCTGGGTATCATTTATTTTGTGTCCTGCCTTCAAATAAATCTAAATGGAGGTTAAAACCCCCCCCAAAAAAACAGAACGGCTATGAAATAGACTAATAATTGCAATGCTACATCATGGCCTGGGATACTGTGGTGAATCTTTTGGGATTTGCTTGGTTCTGAGGAGAATGCTTAGAAGAAATGCGTCAAATGTGATCTCCTCATTGGAAGGCGGTAGAATCAATATTTCTTTATGAACAACAAAACCCAGAACTAATTGATTAAAGGAGTCTTTCTGCGTGACAAACCAACAGAGACTGTCATCCTACTTTGTGCATTACAGCGTTTTAGAGTCTCTCAGCTCTGGTTGGTTTTATGGTCCACAACTTTACTGAGCTGACTCACTCTACCCGTTCTTATCAGCATCACTCTAAGAACCTGCAGCTTGCTTTTGTACCTGCCCTGCAGTGAATGTCAGAGGGAGGAAGCAGGCGACTCAGCTCGTGAGCATATTGAAGCATCTAACTGTAAAGTCGTTGCATCAGAGATGGAGATTATTTCTATTCCCTCTTAACGGCTCTCAGATCAGCAACGTCTGAGCCAGCAACACCCGGACAAAGTTGCTAATGGTGCTAACGATGCTGAGGGTGCTACCCGTACTAATGGTGCAAACAAACGCTGGCAGAGCTCACGGTTTAGCGGGGGGGGAAACCAGCGGGAGGGCACTAAGTTTCCGCATTGACTCCATTAGTCTGGACGGCCTTATCAGCCTTATGAGCGTAATGCAGAGCAGCAGTCAGTGCGGCACGCTCACAAGCGGGACTATGCACTTAGAGCATGCACAGTGAGCCATGTTGGGTCAACCAACTGAATTAAAGCATACAGATGGAGAGTGGCTCCCTTCTCTGCTCAAGCAGACATTACTCCACTACATGTTTACATTGCAAATAGTTTTTGCTGCCAATATATATGCCAAATTACATATCGAAGTACATTTAAAAGCAAAGAGGTTAAGAGTGATAGTGAAAAAGAAGAGTGACACATGGACTTGAATTGATGAGATGGGCAGAATATTCCCGATATTGTTTCTTTTTTAGGCAGGCCTTTAGATGTCTAAAATGCGTTTCCCAGCTGGCCCTGTCAACAGCCGTAAATCACTCCGCTTTTGCCGTGCCGACAGTCGTCTACAAAGAGTTTTCCACTGCCTTTGGACGGGTACGACGCCACTTCAAAACCCCAACTATCCCTTGTGGAAAGAATCACCTTACTCAGTGGTAGATAAAAACAGAGGTGCCAATGTCATCTCTGTGCTTCCAAACAAAAGCAGGTCCAAGCCGGGTTTAACCTAAATAAGATCAAAGTGTAATAAACTTACATGATGGGACAGTAGCTTGACCAGAGACGGCCCCAATTTGGGATGCACTGCGCGGAAAAATCAAGCCACCTCTCCTGCTGGAAAGTAGAACTGTGCCTTTGCATATTTCTAATTCCTGACTGAATGCTGACATCAGTAACAACAATCTTACTCACTGGTGACAAAGTTTCTGGCTGAGCACCGCAAACAAACGATGCCCCCCTCAAACAAACAAACAAACACACACAAAGAGAGCAGAAGCGAGCGGATCGGCCTGGCAGTAGACCCGTGGTCCAGATGCCTGCCTCCCCTGTCCTGATGTCCACGTTTGAAAATAACGTCACCCGTTGACATCTCAACAAAGTTTTGAGCAGGTGCTTCTCTTGGAAAAGGCACGTCAACACGGTCGCTTCATAGTTCACAAGCTTCCAGCTGTTCCGACACTCTTTTGGCTGTTGTTGTCCAGTCAACTGCAGCCGAGGCGAAATCAGTGAGCGAAGAGAAGAGAGAGCCCTGTCACTCTTTCCTCTTGATTGCTGTACAATCAGTGGCAATCAATGAAATAAACACCAGAGGAATCATGTTCACTTATGTAACATTACGTTTCCATTACAGTTCTTTTTCATATTCGAACTACAAATCAGTGAGATGCAGATGGAGTTAACTTCCAGGTAAGTCTTCTTCAAATCGTTATGTAAGAAAGATTATATACAGGTGACGTCAACTGGCTTTCTCACCTCGCAACGAAAACCGCAACCGATGCTGGAGTTTGTAATCTATTATTTCCTTTTTCCATAATCTGGATTAAGTAAATAATCAGACTACAGGGTAATACTTATAGGTGAGAGGAGAGAGATGCAGAATGTACGGTATATTCTGTCAGATCCCCAGATTCCCAGTTGACCAACATGTCTTTAATGAGGAGCACAGTAACATTAAGCTGCCTTTCCTCTCCGTCAACAGCAGGATTATTTCTGTAGCTCAATACTCAGCTCTACATATTTATGTTTCTTTTCTGGTTTCTCTCAGAGTAACTGATCACATCTGCAGCCTGCAAGGAGGCTGATTTCTGTGGCAGCTGTTTGTCGCCTAAAGGGGTGATGGTGATGAAAAGAAAGTCCGTTTATTGAGCGACTGACCATCTGCAAAGCTACTGTCTACTGAGAGTGTGATTTGGGGCGAACCAATGCAACATAAAGCATCCTTTGAATAAAATAAAACTGAAGGGATTGTACTTTTCCAGTCACACGATCACTCGAGGCATTTTAATTTAACCCGTTATCCTTCCTCGTAGTTGTTGTTGTTGTGGTACTTTTCATACACTAGTTTCATCACTGTAGACAGATTTATAATGAAGCAGTAAAGTTTAACCCGGATGACAGAAAAGGGACGATGGCTATTTGAAAAATGAGTTTAGCCCATTAGTATGCAAAGCTTATGGTAGCACACACATCAACTGATTTTACTAGAGAAGGACACTGCAGGCTCGAACACACCTAAATCCTCTTCAGATATGACAGGCACCTGAAAACAGACAGGCTGAAACCTGCGCTTTACTCCTTCCCCACCGGGCGTAACACAGAAAATGAAAAACCTGTAAGAATTGATTCCCTGACGAAGCTAGACCAGGCTGATGGGCTATGTATGGAATATATGTCTGCTGGAGATAGAAGTACTTACCTTCTCCCCATTGATTCCCATTTTCCCATCTGATCCAAGTTCCCCCTGCAATGACAAGATTGAAAGTTAAAAGGACAGGAAAAGGCCCTTGGAAGGGTCATACATTCAGCTGTTTTTCTACACTTTTACACCCTGAAGGTCTTAATCATTTGCTAGTAGTAAATAAGTAAATATTCCTTTAATGACACGATTCTTGAGTGTGAATATACTGTATAATGTTGCATATATGATAAGACATGATTAGACAGTGTAATCCCTAAAATCTGCATTGCAGAGGGGGACCTGCATTGCAGAGAATTAGTTTTAGCCCCGACAACTATTAGTTCGCTTTCTTTGCAACCGGCTTTAATCGAAAGAGGATGAGGAGGGGATGCAGATGATTTCCATCCAAGTAGAATTCTGGTCAGCAGTAAAGTGCACAGGAAAAAACTGCCAAATAGTGCTTCAAAAGGTCCGCTCCAATCTGTGGGCCGCTTTATTTTGAGATTGTGTTGAGAAGTTCCATAAAACCAGCAAGAGATGAGCGTCACCACGCATGTGTAAATGATTTGCAAGAAGCAGGTTAGATATCAAACAGCGATGGTGGCAACAATCCAATGAGTTTACGTCAAAAGGGATTGTGTGGGAGGAGAGTGTGAAATATTTTTTTAGTGTAGCGAAGATGATTAGATAACACCAACATGAGACATTAAATAGATTCATTAGGAATATTTTTAGTCAATGTGAGGATGTCTCTCGGTTTGACACTAGGAGCTTTAGTAGTCACAAATTAACGGTTTGAGCACATCAACATGCAAATTGAAGCACCACGCGGCTCCACAATCTAATCAAAGCGCCGCACAGATGGACTGTTTGATGAAAGTATGCTATTTCGATCATGTATGTAAAATGAGTTATTGCGGATACCAAAGTGTGTCGGCAGTCACACGCGAATACCGACATGTCGCCAAGGTGACATTGGGGTTCACATGACACTGTCATGTGCCACGTGCCAGGACAAAAGCAACCCTTTCTGAATGCATCTATTTATGAAAGTGAAACTATGCTAAAGGTGTGAGAATAGATATGTTTGTCCTCTTCAACTGAAGACATAACATAACTCAAGTTCACCTCTAAGCCTTAAAAAACTCACTTTCAGCTTAATTTGAACTGAGCTTAGCAGGGAACCACGCACACATGTTGGGAACCAGATAGCAAATTCCAAGCAATATTGTTTGTATCACTGCATAAATCCAGCTCCAGCAAAGTCTACAGTACAGGTAATATTATACTGTATGGAATAAGCTGGGAAAGGCTTATTCCAACAAATATAGCATCTTAGAGGCTTATTGCCATGAATATCGTTCTGATCACTGATTCTCCTTAAGCTACCGAGCCCCCTGCTTTCCACACACTCCGCCAGAAATATGGGAGACATCTTGGAACTTGTTGTGAGAGTGTAACCTATACAGTTTCATGACCTCAGCTGGCCCACAAAGCTCAAGCAAACTGCCATATTATAATATCCGAGAGACACCATATCTTTACTCAACAGCTGCATGACGTTGTTCTCACATTGGGGCGGACAAAAGAGGCTGAGTGTGTGGGATTTTGTCCAAGGGACACCATGTAAGACAGGAGGGTCAAATATAAACAGGGCAGAACCGGATTAATTGATGAGGGGATGAGTTTAAGGTATAAGATATGAGGTAGAAATTACTATGAGACATAGTGCTCAGCATTAATGTCAATACTACTGGTTGGTCTGTTGGAGGTCGGAGTTGTGTGGCGAAACTGCTCCTAAACTTCATCTCAGAAAGAGAGATGCTGTGCTGCTGAGTGTTATTCCATATTATTAAGTATCAAGCTTCATCTGCAAATGTCCCCCACAGTGAGCTTAACATCTTCTATATGTATAAATCAGGATTAAGCCACCACTCACGTCCAGGAATTATACTTTTTTATGCTGATGCACAAGCCGCTACCACAACCATCTGCAGTACAATCAATCACTTATACAATGCAATGCAATGTCTGGCAGATATGAATATTTCATTGCGGTGCATTTTCAAGATAAAATCACAATCCCACACCCTCTTTTTCCAATGCAATGGAATTACTAGAGGACATTCTTACTCCGAGACATGGAAACAACAGCCATGTACTGGCGTTACATAAAATGGTGCTTCCTAGAGATTGAACCTATTCCCAAAGAGATGAAAGGGATAAACACAGGCGTCCGAGATGTCATATTTAATGGCCCTCAATCAAACGGATGGCAGTATCTTAGAATGCAATAAGGAAGCAACATGCACAGTGAGCATGTGAAATCAATTCTCTCAGCTCTTTTTACTCGGATTGTAACAGCAGCATCCAATTACAAAATAAGCACTCAGCCAGTCTTAAAGCTTCAATTAGAACGTGCGCTTTACTCAAAATTTAAACGTCTGACTCCACAGCGAGTGGAGTTTGTGGAGATCCTTGAAGGGCATAACTCATCTTCACCCGCGGAACCCCCGACTTCTCTCCAACCTTCTCCTACTACAATCCCTCACCGGCTTCGCGGCCAGGACTGCTGCCAACTGTGGCCAACGGGTCCCCGGGCCAAGCCAGGAGCGCTGGCGCCGGTTGGGACCAAAAGCGCCATTCAGCGCAAAACCACCCACGAGCACCCGCCAGCTGAATTCATCGGATTTTGTGATCGCTTCATATTCAGCGTTGCCGCTGCGAGGTTGACACGAAGGCAAGCCAGCGATTCCACCCAATGATGTTAGAAGATCATCTCAGAGACGGTCCGGGACAGTTTCCATAAATCACCCAGCAATACGTGCCACCTGCTATCAACTGCATCAAAAGAAACTGCGGCTTGAACCTGAAGCAGAATGTATTCAGGTGTGCAAAAAGCAGACGGGGGCTCTCACCTGAGTAGATGTCAATCACAAGTTTAATCACAGCTTTGAGAATTTTGATGGTACGTTTTTTTTTTAAGTTGTTCCATCAGTGAGTAGCCTACCTCCTGCCCTGGCTTCGCTGAAGGCCTGTCCTCCTCCCCCGCCTCCCTCTGAGCGCGGAAGCGACAGACGGAACACTTAGTGAAAGGTCTCTCGTTCACACATTAGAGAACAGCTTCGTGACGGCTCGTCATTTCAGCGGCGATCTTTCTCCAGCAGCTGTTCCGCAAGTTACTGTTGACACAGTGTCTCAGCAGCTGCAGATCAGGGTAGGGTTTCCCAACAACTGGAAAGCACACATCTGAACCTTGTTAGGGTTCATTGTACTATCTTAATGAATGAATTATTTTTTGAAAAAGGGCGGGACAGGGCAATTGCATAAGAAAGCGGGGCGTGACGTTATACAGGCTGGTGGAGTCCGCAGTGTTTTTAAGAGTTAGAAGATGGAGGTAGATTGTGTAACAAATTAAGCTCACACAGACTCGCTGCAAGCTAAGAATCTAATTAAACGTGATTTCCATTCACGTTCACATCTTCATTACTGAAATTCAATAGGGTTTTGTTTAGGAAAAAAAGGGATATGTGGAAAATCCTAATAACTGAGATGCCATCTCCGGAGGATGGCTTATGAACCACATCGTTCTAGAAAACACTATCAGTCTACAATTTTAAATACTGCTGTGAAAATACGGCTGTTTGACTAGACAATGAGAAATGGCAAGTTATTATATTTTCCCTGGAAAGACGGTCTTCATGAGACAAAGTAAAATTTACGGCTGCTGATGCGGATTCATTAAAAACAGATACGCTTCTGAGAAAAAAGAAAAAAATATGTGAATGTATATTTTTCATAGTGCTCTCAATTCTTCTTTAATTTACATTTACCATGTAATTACTGGTACAAAACCCCTTTTCAGAAAAGCTAATAACATTTTCACACTGATGGATACGATAGGAAAAAATGGAAGGTTTTGACGACTAATTGAAATTCACCGTGAGCGAAATAATGAAGCGTGTGCAATAAAATTCCAAGAACTATTCATTTGCGAGGTACAATGGTTATAAATTGAATTAGAGGCTACTAATTGAAAACACAAGCCGTGGGGGGCCGGAGTGTTCTAAATGGTCAAAAACAAATTGAAGGCATTGTAAAAGGGGAAGACGTTTTAATTTGGCCATGATGCCTGTGTTTTTTCTTAACGCGTGTACATGCAGGAGCTGCAAAGCTGCAAGGGTTTATGTTCAAGGCCATAGAAAATGGATTTCCTTTCAAGTAAGCTGCATTCTTATGACCCAATCCTTATCTATTTAATTTCCTGAGGGATTCTGGATTAATCATAGCGGTTTAATCCCTTTGCAGTGCATTAGAATCCTCCATCAAACTCTCGCCTGTAATTCAGGATAGTACTTTCTTTCGGAGTAACACAGCCAAAGTAATCCCGGCACACTTTCCGAAGGAAACCTCTGTGAAGGTCACGATGATTGGCCTGCACCTCTCGTTATGGGTGTTTTAAATGCTCTAAATTCCCCAAATGTTTTAGGATTAATCTGTACCAGTAAGGGTAAGTTCTTAATAAGTATACTCTGACTACTTTTTTAATCTTGAACAGAGTGAAATTCTTGTGTTACTAATTGAAAGTCCCATGAGGTTACCTTATTAATAGTGTTTTCTATGGCTTTGTTATCCCTGTTAGATGTATTAGAATGTAAATTTAAAACAGTGCAGCACTGGAACTCCCTTGGAAATCCAGGGATAGATATAAATTAAACAGAGGTCCCCTCCTATTCATTTTACCAGACATATTAATGTGCAACAATGTCAGGGGCAAAAAGAGAAAAGCAATTACTACATATGATTATGTCAAAGCAAGATGCTTCTGATATACTGCACACATTGTTAAAAATAATTCACATTCATGCTGTTTTTATCCCCCCGTACTATTGGAATATGAAAAACAGTTGTTGTCCTCAAGTATCTGCTCCATGCTAGTAAATAGCACACTGGATCTTATTCGACATCATGTCACACGCAGCTCTGCCTGCATTTTTAAATCGAATGCATATCAATCGCTTACAGTAGCATGTAGCACAAGATGATTGATTTCCAGGTATTTATGCTATAACAAAGCTAAAGCCCCTAAAGCTCAAGTCTATCAAACAGCAATTGTGGTTTGTGGGAAGTCACTCAAAATCCTAATCAGTTTAGTGCATCACTCTGAATGCACCACTGTGACTGTACTAATTGCCAGAGGCCGGGCTGCTGCTGTGGCTGTAAATGTAATGATTTTACTCGTCATTTCAATACGTCTCCCTGCCTGATGTTTATTCAACCAAGACATTTTTTTCCCCACACTGGTTTCAGCTCTCATTCTGAAACAACAATTAATTGCATGCCAATATAAGCAGATGAACAAGAGGATTGGGACGACAGAACGATTTAAATGAACAAAAGGAGGAACCTGTGGTGGGGAGGAGTAGTTTATTTATGCCATTTAGACATTTATGCCATTCCTAACACTATAATAAATATTATTACTTTATACTTTACAAATGCAGAAAAAAATACCGTAAAACCTGAGATGAAGTTTATCACTGTAAGCAGTTGATCATAGCAGTTATCATAACAAAAATGTCTAAATTTTTCTCCTATTCTCCTGCATTTTTCAGTTTACATAAAGTGAAAATTACTCTCTTCTCTAAATCATAATTTAAGTCAGCTGCGGCCTCAGGTAACCAGCAGACCGTGAGAGTTTTATGGCATTAAAGTAAAAAATATAATTATTATAGTTTGAAATTAGTTTCACAAATGTCATTTTTTAAAGACCCCTAAATGAACACTGTACATCTATGACTCAATAATTATGAGCTAATTGTTTTAACAGCATTTGAACAGAAGTGATTCAGTCACATTATAACTGTGATCCCTATTGATGGTTTCCTGTGATCATGCTATATATTTACAAAAACAATCAAGAATGCCATAAAATCTAATGCTCTCTGTAGCAACGATATTGGTTTAGATTAGTTGTAATAAAAAGCTGTATAAATTGTCTGCGTAGCAGCCATAACATAAATCAACCGCATGACGTACAAACACTATTAATCCAAACATTGGATCCAATAAATTCATAGAAATATGCGGACGATTCCTTTCTGAGTAAAACACACGAGTGTGTGTCATCAACTGCGCCAGTTAGTCTTGAACGTCTTGCCCCTCTTCAAGTTTTTCCTTAACTTCATTGATTTAGTGTTTAAGGCTATAATAGGATTTGTTGTGAATTTCTCTTGTGTAGTACGCAAACAACTGGTGCCAAGTATTGATCTGTTGAGGACCTGAAATTAGATTTTAGCTGTTAACAGTGTGTGCCACTGACATGGCCAGCAGAAATAAAAATGGAATGGCCTCTAGAAAACCATGTTTAAATCATTGTTAAGCTCCGTAAACACGACAAATGTGCAGAAGTTCTTTAGGTGCGCAGTTAGAAACAACATCAATGTATATACGTCGCTATTTGAGAAAGTCATGGCGGCTGTTTTAGGTGCTGCCTCCTGTGAAACTCCACTAGTAATAAACACTAAACTAATTTCAGATATGTTTTAGACAGCGCAAAGGAATCACCACTATTCCAAATGTCCCTTCTGAGCCCAAAAGCTGAAACTATTTGAAACTCACAAATAAACGTTTGAAACTGTGCCTTCCAAGAAGAGAGGTTTTCCAGAAACAAGTCATACTACGTATCTTAATCCCACAGCTGCATCATGTTGAATGGGACACTGACCCCCAGAAGCCATGTGGTCGTATCAGACATACAGTACCAGCACCTGCTCATTCCTAACAGTCCCAGTCGTAGCGGCATGCATACTCCCTTCGTTCGTGTTTAACCTTGCACAGACAGCTAAAAGGGGGATCTCGTACTCACGTACGATGTGATTTGTCAAGAGAAAAATACCGCTCTTTGTTTGGGTATTCAGTGGATAATTCATGTTCTTTTCTCGCTCTCCAACCAACACCGGCAATTTTCAGTGACTGGGCATTTACCGCTCGTCCCTTTAAGCTGTCTTGTAAAAATCATACTGTTTTTCTTGCGATTGTACAAATGTAACGATTTCCGAGAGAAAATGAATCTATACTTTGATGTGTGAACACGACCCCTTGTCAGACACTACAGCATAGACGAGAGAGGGAGAAGGAGGGCGAGAGAGAGAGAATTATTTCCTGACAAAGTATAAGATTTGGCCTATAGGGACATGCCCTCATTCCTCACATTTGGACCTTGGCCACAGAGAAAAACCCACAGTAGCAATTGGAATTATCACTTTAGAACCAAAGTATGGTACGATTTAAAACATGGGACAAAACACTCTATAGTTCAGTGAATGTTTCTGTATTACAGTGAACCCTGGATGTTAAATTTGCTGTCCGCCTTCTTAAGTGTAGACTGGAGAAAAAATATTGCACATAAAACATTCCCTTAACCCCAGCATGTTCCCTATTGATTAAATGCCGAGAATAAATAAGTGCGTGTATCAATATCGTAAAGTATGTTTCTCCATACCTTGTCTCCTTTCTCTCCTTTTATTCCTGGCACTCCAGCTACACCTGGAACACCAGCATCCCCCTGTGCACAAATTATACATTAGTAGGGTTTAAAGATGACTTACTTAGAACTTGTGGCCATTGCTGCTCGATACATACACTCTTGAACTTTTAGAATAAAGACACACACTCGTACTCACATACCACCTGAAATAATCTGACGTAAATATTTACTAGAATGCTCTGCCATTATCACAAATTAATAGCGGTCTGCAGATTTACCATCTTCAAACAGTTTGGGATCATTGCTTGTACATACATCATGGCTTTACTGTCTGTTTTCTTTTGGAATACAACATCAGCGTTAATCAGCGCTGGTTCAGTTACAATAGACATTACACTCAATTGGAGACCCTTGTTGGGGCGGAATTTATTGTACCTTTTCAGCTGGACAGTGACACCTGTCAATAGACTGTGAAGTGGGGAGGGACAGCGTCTCGGGGAGCCGGGCTGTAACCAGGGGAGGGGAAGTCCCATTAAAGGTCTTCTCGGCTTCACACTGAATCAATACAGAGATTTCACCATTTAGCCACCTTCCTTTGTGTCACGTTAGCAACATGGCTACAGAATCCCGGATTTCTCGTAACACGGCGCCGTTAACCCGGAGTCACCTCGGTATTTGCTGTGAAATATTTATGTCATGTCAAAAATAAAATGCATACTGTGCTGGGAAACCTGGGTAGTACTAAGAGGAGCAGCAGTGATATGACCCTCTCAAGGTTGTGACGAGTCCCTCCCAGTAATTTCACACCGACATGACAGCATGCTTATGGAGACGTGTAATGGTAAGGGTTCAAAGGTCATCTCTCCATTTGGAATCACTGTAACATTAGTTCGAATTGATTCCAGTGATGGAAGATCTCTGCTATTGAGTTTCCATCTGGGGACGTGTGTCCTCGGACTATTGATGTACGATTTTCTGTCTCAGAATTTGGAGGATCTTCTAAATGCTCTCGTTGTGAAATGTATTGTATATGGTAAATGTTGTCACAAGCTATGAATGATAAAAGGCAGTTATGTGAAGAATCATAGCGTTTTACCTTTGGCCCCAGTAGCTCACAGCAATTTTCCATTTCAGCCATATAAGGGTCACAGTAGATCAATATTTTTCTCAGTTCAATCTGTGGGAAACAGCTCTCATTAAGAAACATTACAGCATCGTCCATCAGTATCATCATCATCCCATCGTGCTCCTGTTTTTACATACAAAATATCAGCTCTTCACTTGTTAAGAGCGTAGAAGCTGTTAAATTGCCAACCGTTCCTTTGCTAACAAAACACTTCAAAAACGTATACACTGTATTTATATCAAAAAGGCTTCAGCTTCTGCATGAAGTGCAGCTGCTCCGGAGCACAGCAGGAACCCTACCGTGTTTTTTGCAGATGCATTGACTTACAGCTTTACTAATCACATGTACTAAGAATTCAGCTGTTAAAGGCACTTAAGCCAAGTTCTGCTCTGAGGCACGAGCTGACCAAAACTCTTTTTACCCTTTGGGGCAGAATGAGCATTCCCAACATATACGGCACAATAGAGGATTCACAGAGATTTAAAATAAGCGCCATGAGGCGTGTTTTACATGCGTTTTACTACTTCAAAAACACATTATTGATGGAGATGAGTTGCAGACTGACTACATCAAATAACAGTGTAGGTTTAGCAAAAGACTGAAAGGAAGACAGACAGAGACAGATAAATATTTTGCATGGGACGTACATCGACAGATCGTCCATCCTCGAGTCGCGTGGTGATGAGAGTGAGAGTGCGCCCACTGGGGTCAACGCTGTCCTTCTCACCCGTTAGTCTCCTTTCTATCAGTTTGCAGTCCATGTAAATGGAGACGATGTTGCTCTGCACTGAAAGGCCCAGCTTGTGCCACTGCCGATCGAAGAGGGCATGTAGGTCGCGGCTCTTAAACGTGTAGCGGAGAATGTTCTGTAGTCCCCGGAAAGAAAACTCCACTACTTTCTTGTCCCCATCAACAACAACAGACACCTGATGAGCAGAGAAACAAACATCCATCTCATGATATTCTATTGTATTTGTACATATTGAATCTGATATGTGAAATTAAACGTAAACATAGTGGGGCCCACCTGACTGTCCCCCGACTCGTTGAATACCTGCCAAAGATACCAACGATCTTTTTTTGTAGTTCTTCTGACCCGGAAGATGGTAACAAGGGAGTATTCACTTGAAATCCCATTTGGGAATATCGCTCTAAAGAAGACATAATAAAACAGTCAGATTATCCCAAGATTTCCATATTAAATCATTGTGAAAACAATTTTATGAAATGAAAGATGACAGTGTCAGGTTTCATTTGTCACAACAATGTATGTTCCCTCATTTAGAGCTTTCAGTGGCTGAACAATGAACCGGCCAATCAACCTCAATGATCAATAAAACATTTAAATATCTTCCTGCTGCTGAATCACGCACATAAATAAACCTGACAAACTAGATTTAGCCTGATGAACTGTGTACTGACTTCCCTGTCTTTCAGATAATGAAAACATATAGAAATTGATTGAAACTCTCAGAAGGCAATCTTTTACCTCACTGAGATGTGCTACAGTTATGGCTGCCTGGTGCAGAGCCATTATAGGTTTATGTGTATGACCTCGGCTGCTCTGTAAAGTCAAATAACGATCCTGTGTTCACAGCTGAAAATATGTTCCAGCGGAAGCAAACTATGAGGACAAAATAGGAAATATATAGTGAGAGTATTTATCATTTCCAATCACACTTCCAAATGAATGTATTCGGTTTCTCGTCTCCCAACCTGCACCCTTGCTAATAAGATAAATGCATAAATTAAATACAAAAAACATTGTACCCTTCAAAATGCAATGGCTCCTGCTCTAACTCTGAACTCAGCTTAACACTGAAAACTGGAAGAGCATAAACATAATAAATCATGATCAGCAAAAATAATAATAATTCAATGATAAGGTCATTGAGAAGGCAGAGCACAGCCTGGGGGAGCGAGAGAGAGAGAGTTTCTTTAGACAGGTTGGAAATTAGTTTTCACTCCAATATATCATCTGCTATTCTCTCAGAGCTTCGTACCTTCTTCTATTGTGTCTCTTGAGTTCTTTGAGATTTTGGTGGAAACGGTACATGACTAAAATGATAAATACACCAAGTTAAGCTCCCGAAAAATGCCTCTTTGAGAGGCCAAGGGCTGGGAAGGTTATTTGTTGCCCAAGGGCTGCAGGACTATTTTAGCCGCAAATCAATATGAAAAGTGGCAGGGTAATTTATAAAAAAAACTAGGATTTATTAAATACATTTAACACAACATATTTCCACGCTGCATGTAGACTTAACTACTTTCAGCAAATGTGTTTCACCACATCGTGATTAAAAGGCGCAGGAACAAACAAAAAAAGAAAAATGTAAATAAAAACCCCAACAGCCTTTGCACAACACTGCAACTTAGGGAACAATACTTTTAAGCAGGTTTAATATACATTTAGAAGCACTGTGAAGCACATTACTGGGCTGTATTTTGGAGTTCACTCCCTTCTTTACAAAGTCCCTCATGAAGTCTACTCTTATTTCATAACATTTCTGTCTACAGTGTGGCACACTTGATCTTTAAGGGCCCAGAAGGTTAAAGTTCTTGATCATTTGTGGCTAAATGGCTGTAGGTTGGTTTTAAACGCAGACTCTTTGAAGTAAATGCATGTTCATTGGACTGATCTCTGGTGGGGATTAGTCCGCCTACAGTGGGAGTCTGACCATCTGGTGTCCTGGTGCAGCCAGAACAACCTGGAGCTCAACGCTCTAAAGACAGTGGAGATGGTTGTGGATTTCCGGCGGAACAGAACCCCACCCTCCCCCATCACCCTGTGTGACTCCCCCGTCACTATTGTGGATTCCTTCCGTTTCCTGGGCTCCATCATCACCCAGGACCTCAAGTGGGAGCTGAACATCAGCTATCACCATCACCAAGAAGGCTCAGCAGAGGTTGTTCTTCCTGAGGCAGCTGAAGAAATTCAACCTGCCAAAGACGATGATGGTCCACTTCTACACGGCCATCATCGAGTCCATCATCTGCTCCTCCATCACCGTCTGGTACGTTGCAGCCACAGCCAAGGACAAGGGCAGGCTGCAGCGTGTCATCCGCTCTGGAGAGAGGGTGATCGGCTGCAATCTGCCGTCCCTGCAGGACTTGTTCGCTTCCAGGTCTCAGAAGCGAGCTAGAAAGATCGTGGCCGACCCCTCCCACCCCGGACAAAAACTGTTTGTGCCCCTTCCATCTGGCAGGAGGCTGAGGTCCATCAGGACTAAGACCTGCCGCCACACGAACAGTTTCTTCCCGTCGGCAGTCGGGCTCATCAACAGAGCCCGGTCCCCCGGTGACTGACTCTGACATTCCACCGGTCCCTCCCCTGCACACTGCACATGTCACTTTAACTGTCATTGATCACTTTGTCGTCACTCGTCACTTTGTCACTTGTTCGCTAGTGCACTTTATGCTTAATATTTTTTTACTTTTTTAATATTTTAAATTTTTAACTTTAACTTTATTCCCTTGTTTTATACTAACCCATAGCCTTATTCTTTTTTTAATAACCCATTGCATTAGCATTTGATTTTACTTTATTTTATTACTTGTGCACTGCTGTCTTGTTGTCTATTGTTACACTGTCTGTCCTGCACCAACCGCCAAGACAAATTCCTTGTATGTTTGACATATTTTGGCAATAAATGTTTCCTGATTCCTGATTAAATGATAAGGACTGAATGCTGTGCAGTCATCTTCCCTGCTGTTATAATTCATTGCAAAAACAACAAAAAGCATTTGACAAAATACTTCTGCTTTTGCCAAGCCTGTATTTTTGTATTATTATTCATAAAACTGCAACAGCTTCCTGTATTCAAGAACAATGTGTTGTTCCAATGTAAGTCATGTGACCTCTGCATGCTGTCAGACATGGTTGAATTCTACGATGTAAAGTAGTCTTGCCTGGTTATAAAGCCAAATCATTGAAAGATCCACAGTGGTAAGGAGCAGAAAAAAAAAAAATCTTAAGTGAGGCCTCTTTTATGCAACAGTTATTTTTTGCAGAAATAATCTGCAAATATTTCATATACATAGCAATAATCAAAAAAAGTTAAAAAAATATATTTCAGTGCTTCCATTCAAGTTCCAATCACAACTAATTCCATTTTTCATGAAGAACCACTATGTGTTTTCTGGAAACAATCATCCGTCTTGGACATGGTCCTGGACCATGCATATTGCTTGGCAGGCACGACTCCTTGTATAATCAAAGACAATGATATGACAGAATGTCACAGCAACACTACCGGCCTGGTAGTCTCCCGGAAGCGGCTTCAGTGTCCTGGCTTGTCAGAAATCCTGTTATGGGGGATTCCTTAAATGAGTGGGGAGGAGTCAGATTGCCGTGGCAATCAAGCCCTCAATGTTGTGACTAGTCGGCTCACATCTGTATCACCGACAACATCATTCCTGCCAGAAAGGACTACAACTTCCTCTCAGCATGACTCGCCTTTTCTGTTAAATTTTGGATGTGCAATGTTTGCCAGCATGAGAGAGGGCCGCTTTGTAAATAAATGCAAAGTGCGCCTCTGAAGAAGGATGTCTTGTAAGCAAAGAGACGTTATACGACTGACTGAGTGTGCATGTGCGTCGCTGAAGTTTGTGCGAGTGCTGCGTAATCGTCATTCCAGTGTAAACAAGTGTTCCTCTAGACACAGTGGAGAGATACCATTGTGATAGCAACAAGCCACCAATAACAAACTTTCAAAAATGTGTGATCTGCCACCGTGACTGTGTGACGGAAAATGAAGTCATTTATTTCCTACAATCAACATTGCTTTCGATTTTCTCAAGATGCGCAATTGTTCGTTGGTAGAGAATCACATGACACAACAAGACTGCCGCTGTGACTATGAAACAAGTTGTCACGGCGGGTGCTTTAGTTTTTTATCACCAGGCCAACGCATTTCTTTTAAGATCGGCTATTTTCCTTCCATCAAATGCCCTCACTCTTTCCCACCAGTCACCCGAATTACCCCCCACAGTATTTACACCAGCCATTTCCATCAAATTATCAATGTTGGTTGATGCCTTTGCTTTCCAGTCTATTGGATCTGATCTCTTTCTTTGGCCTCTTACCAGCCAGGTTCTTGCTAACCTGTAAATTCTTGGCCACTTTTGTTCGTATTTGCTGCTTTTGCAAGTAAGTCATCAAAAATATTCCATATTTGCGAGAAAAAAGAGCTAATGCTATACACGTCAGATAACACTCTAAATATCAAAGGACAATGTGGATCCATGATGAATACTAATTTATTGTAAGGTAATTTCACCTCTATGTGCATGCATGTCCAGTGAAGCCCAATAAGGTGATTTTGTTCTCCCCTGTCTGTCTGTATTTGAGTTCTATTCCCCTGCTTTGTACTACATCAGACATATTAAAGTGTGCATGCGGATTTGACAGTAAATATAAGTTCCCGCAAGGTGTGAGGCTGTGCACTAGAAAAGGTCATCTGCGGCAATGCAAATGGTTACAAATCATATTTCTGACAGAAAATCAAAAATACAGACTTGCACGGTTTTCTAGAAAAAATCTAGACGCTGTTATGAATTAAAAGAAGAGTGCTTCAGCTGGAACAGAATCGATTGCAGTAAACTCATTTGATTAATTAGCTGACACAAGAGTCATAAACCACCGAGGCCACAGATTGATAAACAAACACAAACCCTCGTGATTGATTGACGCACATGATATCAGCCACAGTGGCTCCTTTGTGCCTTAAACTCACTCCATTATTTATGGTATCTTTGGATTCTACACATAGTGTGAAAATAGTTTACTGTATTCTGTTGAAGATTTTACATATTCATAGTTTTTTGATACGGGTTAGAATTCCAGTACCAATGAGCCACATTAATTCAAATGAAGTTCTTTTTTCTGCGGGTGGAGTTCATACTGACATTGTCACCATCTTTACGATTACAAGAGGACAAACATGCAGCAGAATTAACACGATTCACAAATTTGTCTAAAGAGTGTGTATCCTTCCTGTGGAATATTTTGCAAAACACTATAATGTTAGTGCTAAAACTGTAATGCAATGTGGTTGCTTGCTACCTCCCTGCAAAAAACAATGTAAAGAAAAAGAAAAATCACCCATTCATCTTCTCTTTCTGAACAGCTGGAGAAACAAAATTTAAATATTATTCAGCCAGAAAGCCACTGCAGCAAAGTCCTCTAATACTGTGAGGGCCACTTTTGACTACATGTTGCTTTTTGCGAGGCAATTTCTCACTGCAAACAAATGTTCCTTTGCGTGTGTCAGCTCTGATCTATGCGCCATAATGTGTGTGGTGACATGCGCGGGCAGAACATTAGCAAGATCTAGAGAGTCGGCCATCTATCGCTGCATATCTTGCAAATAAAGAGAGCAATGTTTTTGTGGCTGCGGCGGCGGGGGGGCAGAGGGGCCTCCTGCTTCGTGCAATTGCCCTTGCTTTCCTGCCTCAGCTGACATGCAGTATCGTCTGTCAAAGTACTTAGATAATTGGATATGAGAGGGATCGCAGTCGCGCCACTATAACCAATGACGCTGTCAGCAGAGTCATTGAGAAGCAGAATCTTCTTGCACTGTGGGCGCGCACTGAGGGAAGGACTGAGGTAAATGTATTTTCGGCTGGCTGACTGAACAGGGGAGCAGATCAAAAATCACCTGGCCCTATGATTCTTTCACGCAGACGGAGGAAAAATGTTACGTAAAAATACTAAGAATATCCTCCCCCGTCCGTCCCTGAAGAAGAATGACACCGATGTGTGTTTCATTCTTACTTATGGACACAAAACAATGAAATCCATTTTTTGAAATCTGGATATTTAATGAAGCCATATTTGGCCACTCATACAGGTGCATGCTGTATGTGCTACTGGTCTTTCTTGATACAACTGGTTGCACTAAATATGAGAGCATAACATTAAAATCCCCACTATGTCGTCATTTTTGCACCGAGGTTGAAATCACCAAGTTGTCCCAACATTTGAAAAGGGGAATAAATGTTTTCAGTAAACGGCGCCTCACTTTGTAATATTTATACCCCCAGTTTCTAATACCTGCACCAACATCTTTTTTCACTGCTTTATTTCCCACTTTTTGTCTTTGGGAGATTTCTAGAAAGAACACAATTTGTATTAATTCTGTTGAAATGATTTCCCTGTCTAACAGCTCACCTCGCAGCTTGCCCTTATTAGCCAAGGCAAATGGAGCTATGGCTGTGAGCGGGCTCCCTCTGGCTTGCCTCAGGTGAGCCCTTTCATGAAAACCACACTGTTTTATTTCTCAATATCACCGGATCCACAGGAATTCAAGCTTAAACCTGCATCGTGCTCTGCGTAGCATCATGCAGCTTTGTATGCAATAAATCCATTTACAGAACCTGTACACAAGGGAGCAAAACAGTAGTTCCCTCTGGGTGTTAATCCAGAAGAAGACTGCGCTTTAACGCCACATATGAGTGAATGCATCTTAAAAGTGCTCCTGTTCCATTGCGAGGTAATGATGCGGTCATGACGGTAGGAATGAAGCAGCATACATTTAGATTATTAGAGATTATTTACTGGGCTATGGTTGACATGGAGACTGTCTGTCTGAGTTTATCCACCAATGTTATTGGCAACCAGAGTCCAACGTCTGAACCCAAGTGAAACAGAACACACGCTACTCACTCTGTCGGCTTGATGAGTGAGCCGCTTCCTAAACGAAATGACGGCAGGTCCTCTGTGATTGTTCCCTTTCGCAGAAGAAACTTTTCGGTGAGATCAAATCCTGGTGAAACAGGTGAACAAGTGTGTCACTGGAATCGGAACAAGCTGATGTTATTCACAAAGCCATTGAGTCCATTCAGAACATACCTGTGATGTCCAGGGGACGATCCAACACATCAGAAAACATGTGGTCCTCTACACTCAGAGGGGGACAAGAGCCATCTAGAGGGAAACCACCAAGAAGTTGGTTGTGCGTTCATTTATAACTCGGAACAGTTTGGAGTATTACGGAAGAGAAGGTGATCAATTGCATCAAGAATTCATTTCCACAGTGCATTTCCTGTCCAGTTCTTCAGCAGAAATAGATCAGAGCAGAAAATCTATTTGATATTTTTCCTCCCATCAATCTTGAAACTTTAGTAAAAACTAATAAAATAACAAACTGACACGAGATACTGATTGATGATATTTTTACAAGTCTAACATTTCACTCTTTGTCTGTTCGAACAACTAAAAGCGGATTCCTCAAACGATGCCATTCAAATTCAGGGTGGATTTTGATTCATTCAAAATAACAACCATGACTATTTATAGACATGATAAAGCCAACAGAAAACCCCTTCAATCATGAAATACTAATACTCCAGTGCATCCGCCTTGTGCTCACATATCCATTTGTCACCTCGGCATTATTGAAAGATCCCTCCTTTCATGGATGCAATAACAAGAGTCTGCTCGATGTTGCTACAAGGACATTTAAGAGAATGACGTTAACGGATACCTTTTAAAATGCCACTCTACTGTTGAAAGACAGAAGTTGCCAGACCGCGAGCGCACATACCTGTTCGTTCACTCACTACCATTCCAAGAGTGCAGGGAGCGAAATGTACCATCCAAAGGAAAGACGTCCATCTTAACAGGCCATCCATGGCTCGGCCGCTTGAAAGCAGTCCCACTCGAAGACCTGCATGCAGAAAGAACAGTTATTATTTCACAATGCTATTGCATTAAATAATTAATAATTGGTCCAACTGGGTAGCACTAAATGTTTTTTCTGATGCAGGTGACACCAGAGGGAGAGCTGACATAGAGAACAAAACAGCAATGAAGCTCGACGGATTTTAATGACAAACTCGCTACTCTGCTGGGTGGAACCGAAACATTGACTCTCCCAGGCAGGCAAAGTAAGATGGATAAAACTCAAAAACAGATTTCCCTACAGTCTACATCATTTTTCACAATGTTCTGGTAATAAACCTCAAATCTGTGCTTTTCCTTTTTAGAAAACATCCACTAAATGAAATTATATAGAATTTATTTTATTGTGGAATCTATTTTATAATGTAAATCCTATTTAATTCTCTTAACACTCGACTCATGCCAACGTGTTTGTCCTTAAAGCCTCTTTGTTTGTCTTTCGTAATCTCCAGAATGCTATTCTGAGTCCTTCATTCATTATTTCCCATGAACATCTGTCTCGCAGTGACGAATGGAGATGCCTATACTTCTGCTAAATCATAATACACCGAGCAATGTTTGTGTTACGGTTTGGGTTTCTCAACTAGTGAGCCAAGCTGCCACTTGTTCTCCACAGACGGTTTGTGTTTCATTAGGTCAGTGTGTCATCCCCGCAGATTAGATGTGGAACTGTGCACAGATTTCACCATGTCAGATGTTGATCTGCAGTGCATGTTGAAAGATACAAGATTACTTTTACATTTGAATTCATCTACTGTATATTCCAAATTTCATTTTCAATATCTGTCGCAGTGACCGTAGGATGTGCTCAGAACATGATTATTTGCCATTTATCCATTCTTCAGTCTACTTTTAGTCTTTGTTCTTGGTTTGCTTTGATCTGTAAACTGTCAGCAGTGTCTTGTTCAAGGACGTCGCATGTAGGGAACAAACCTGTCAACCTCCAGTTAGTGCTGTCGTTCTCTTGGGCTGTTTGACAAAGAAGGTGCTATTTCTTTACGGCGACCTGGACGGTAAAAATGTGTTCCAAAGTCAAGTTAATCCATTTCATCCTGACTAACCCTATTTTGACTAACTTCTAGATTGCTTTAACAGCAAACAGGTGGACTGCAAAGGACTGATGAGAGCTAAATATTAAAAAAAACAAAATCAATTCTATCCAGGACTTACAAACGAAAGAAGTAATGCAAAAAAAAGCCCACAAACAGATTTTACACACATGCTTATAAAAATGTGTTGATTTTTTTTACATCTGTTTGTTAAACGTACATTGGTTTATAATTGGCTAACTGACAACTTTTAGTACCTGGAATTTAGCTGCCTGTAGTGTAATCCTTTCACAAAGACGATAATCCCTCTTTACAGGTCCTCATTCATCTAGTCCCACTGGGGGAACAGCGAGTGAAGACAGAGCCGAGCACTGAACTTGACCCCAGCGCACCGGAATAGAGCTTCGACACATTAAGGGAATTTATGTGCACGGTGTGACCAACATTATCTTCCACGATACCCACTCTCACCGCCTTAACGGCCTACTGTCTTTATCCAAACGCATCGTGCCAGTGACTCATTCCCATTCATCCTGCGAGGCACTTGAGCCTTCTCCCCAACGGATCATAAAGTTTTGCATGCAGGCCAACGGTATCATGGCACCAGGAGATGAAGTGACCAGTGCCACTTACAACTGCAACCATGCATGGGCTGCAGACAAGCAGCACTACGGGGCTATCACCTTCCTTGTCTGTGTGAAGGTGTAATGTTGTTCTGTTCGTCTCAGCCAAAGGCATGCAGCACAGGCACAGGCTCCAAAGCCTGGATATGAAAACACGGATGTTTAGCTGGATTCTGTCTGATGCATCATCTGCATGTATTTCAATCCTCAGCTGATAATTAGTTTATTCTCGCAGGCTACCACAACACAAAAACTCGGGACAAGTTTTTTTGTTTTTTTTTCTCCCCCGTGTCGTCTCTCCGTCACTCCATCAGCCACTTTCGGTCCATCGCGCAACAACTTCACCAACAACATCTAAAGAAGCGTGTTTCTCTGCGCGACCGCTGATTGGCTGGTTGTGTTTTTGGTTTTGTTAATAGTAGCAGAATGTGGCGCGCGTGTGTATATATTCTATCAGTGTCCGTACGGCGACGCGCGCGCCGCTGCAGAGCGATGCGAAACCAGGGATGAAAAACCTGTCCGCGTCCCGGACAGCAGACAACTTATGGAGATCCGACCATGCCGGGTGGGGGGAGGTGGGGGGGGGGGGGATAAAAACGCGACAAAACATGCAAAACGAGTCCGTGCTAAATTAACACGATATTAACAGCTTAAAAATATGTATTTTGGATGTTGGTCCGTAACTACTTACAGTTGGTGAGAAAGTTTTCCTCTAAGGCAGAAACAAAGAAAAAGCAGCGAAACAAGTGTAATCCATGTGTGATTGCGGTCAGTGTGATTCCGGATTCCAGGACATGGAAATAAAAGTCACAGTGCGATCGCCCGCTGGATAGCAAGTCCTTATTAGTTGCACCGAGTGGCCCTCCCACTCCGTCATTATTACTGAAATGCTCTGTCAAGAGACTTCAACCCACGAGAGGAACACACGCTGAAAGCTTTCTTATTAGGGGACATAAATGCCCCGCGGGGATCCAGACGACTCTTGTTTATGACAGCCAGGTGCGGGAATTAAAAAATGCCCACCGATGATTTGTCTTTTTGTTAAATCTTCTGAATAGAAGGGCGAATGCAAATGGATTTTTATAAAATTCTTATTCAACTTTCCCGTCATTAGTATTAAGTCAACCATTAAAAAAAAATAGCGGAACAATAAAAAAGGGTCTTAATATATAATCCATCTTGCTGTGGGAAACAAATTGCGCCTGTCTGTTAACCCCGTACAGTCTGACCCCCCCCCCACCCACACACAACGAATGCCACATGTATAAACGAGTAGAATGGGTGATGCCATCTAATAAAGAGGCACCTCTCAACACATGCTATTTTAGTCAGAATGCCATGTTGCAATTCTTTACTGTGAAGGCAACACATTCCACATCCACTATACGTATGTGCTGTTAATTCCTCCATTGTTGACAAACCACACAGCATCTGCTCATGTTGGAAATATGCCTATATGGTGCATCAATACTGCATTAATGGGCTCTCCAAAAGCAAAGGAAGGCTAAAGCACAGCCACTTTGTCCACCATTGTTTTTGTTGAAACGGCACACCAATAGTTCACGACACAGAAACAGGTGCTCGGGCCCCCCAGCACACGTAACTGTTCATACCGCAGGGTGACACGCGCACAATAAAACTTAGTGACCTTTTAGACGTGAGATGAAAGAAACAAAGATAATATGGTTTTAAGATCCTCAGGCGCTTACTGTGAAGCAGATGGCTGTGTTTATTTAGTGCGTATTATACAAACAGAAGCATTGAATGTATTATGGTTTTTCTCTGTTTTTGTTCCTATTGAGGACGAAGGTATAGTTGTTAGTGGCAGATTAAATCCGTCTGTCTCACAGGTAATTTATGATTAAAATAAAAAGCTATGTGTTCTATTTAAAAAAAAACTGTAACACTTTGCATGAAAATGATGGTCTGGGAGTCTTTCAATTCAATTAGTATGAGCCTTTCAGCTAACGCTACACAAAGTGAAATCATCAATCAGTGATCATGTATTTTATAATGCTTTTATAAAAGCTCCAGTGTTCACTGCAGTTTGGTAGAATCATGCCCTCACTGCTGCCTCTCATCTCTGCTGCAGTTTATTGGAGCGTTTATAGAATACTGCCTGATAACAAGGGACGTACAGGCATTTAGAGGGACGCTTCCTTCGCTCAACAGGAACAACAGCTTTTCCATCAGATTATTTTACCTCGAATAATTACTTTAACCTGACATGCCAGGATGGAGTTCCAAATGCTCTTCGAGATGATATCTGCAAGAGTTTTAAAAAAGTGGAACTTTTCTTCAATACAAAATACCTGAAATAAAAATTGTTCAATGGGAGATTGGTGGATTGTTAACTCTGAAAAGAAAAAATGTCCCAGTTTTCCATTTAATAAAATTTTCTTCACCTCTATTGTACAGGGGTGGCAGCAGGCTTCTCAGCGGTGGATAACTCAAAATTCTTGCAATTGAAAAAGAAACTAACTGAATGTCTTAGTCCTGAATGCAATGTGTGGGGTTTTTGTCATTTGGCTGAGATGATCCTCTGAGACTAAGGCAGGATTGGGGGCATGGTGGAATAATGAAAATGGTGTGGCGCCTCGACGGCTCGGCATGCTGAATCATGAACCATTTAACAGCAACCGCCCCAAAAATACTTGGTGAGTCGTGGGCTTTAAGGAGCTATGTTTGTCACGTTTACCCATCGCACAAATTACTGTCTTCTCAGATCTGACGCGTGCAGACGCTGCGTAAAAAGATGTGAAACTAACATAGTGCCACCTGATTAAAGTAAAATAAAAAATGAATGTATGTATTAATAAGTGATATAATTGAAAGATATTAGCTTCCGACTGAGTGAATGTTCCCCTATCGCAAACATTAAGCAGTATTTGAGGAGTCCGTCATCTACTGCCTGAATTCAAGGGCAATACATCACCGAAACTTCTGTGCGTTTGCTATCACCAAACACATAAAAGTCAGTGTCGGCGCAAGAAGGTGACAAATGCAGCCCACCAACTGCTGCATCAATGTTCCGAGCACATCTTACTGGGGTGACATCTTCAAAACAAAGGTGTCCAGAGGCTCTACATCACCCTTGAGATTATCGTTGTCTGAGACATATTCTGTGAGAGTATTCATACAAGGCGGACCATCGCTGAGGTAAAGGTAACTAATATCATATAACACGGCACGGCACAAAATATGCTATCGAATAAATCTCAATTTCTAAAAGAAAATTCCAATATCAACTTATAGAGTTCATTAGATTAGCTGTCATTGAGTGAACAACTGGAATCCTAAAAGCCTTTTATTGTTGGCCCCACTAGACTTGACAAATCTTTCATTTTGTGAGAATGCAATCCTCTGTTATTTAAAAAATAAAAGACCAAAAATCTGTATTGTTGTCATTGACCTCCTTTGAAACTTTTCCTATTGTCAAAATCCCAAATCTTGGATTGAAAAATCCATGCTGTTGCTTAGTCACTTTTCTTGGGAAAAGACAGATTATGTGGGTGTTTTGTGCCAAACGTGTATTTAAAAGGTCAAATTCAAAGAATGCGTTCTAGGGTTAGTGCTCCACTTAGTAGGACCCTGAAGATGCTCACTTAATACAACGGCGTCTCCGAGTCTTCAGGGCATTCAGCTGGTAGTTACAACAAGAACAGTTGAGTGAGGTCTGCTGATTAGCCAGAGTTAGACATCGTTGTAAAAATGATACACATTTTTTAAAATTATTTTTAAAAATGGTGCTCAAATTAATTTCCATTCACCTGACCTACGCTGAATTGATTTTTGAGACAGAAATCTCAGCAGCTTCCCAGGACATCATTGTTCCATTTCATATTACTACAAATTGAATACTGGAAACTTAAGCACATAGTTGCAAGTAGTTGGATTCTTCGACCTCTAATACTATTTAATGTGCTATTTGATGTTCTACACACTGCAGAAATACATGTGAAATCATGGCACTTCAGCTTTAGAAGACAGTTCACACTTCAGTGAAACTAGGATGTCTGTGGTCATGTGAGCTGTGACAGATGGTCATGCTGTTTCTGACCCCAAGACATAACATTGACATAATTAGCGCCCTCTTTATGTAACTCAGAATATTTTCCAAGACATTACAGCATTACCTGTGTACGCTTTTTTCTTCAGACAGAACACTGCAACTGGTTATTCTAACATGTTCAATGTTCAATTTTTGCAGTTGGTGAAATCATTTTTTGTCAGCAATTTATTCCTCGAGAGGAAAAAGCCCAAATTTAAAATACCCCACTCATCTATTGACAACAGTTCAGTGTTTTGAAGACGTTAGGGGAGAAAAAAAAGAACGAGTTTTTCTTTTGGCATCTCAGAACATTAGGAAATTATTCTATGTTTCTTTCCAGATTTAGGAATGGTGTTTTGATATATGGGACACATTTTCAGTGTATTGATCCAACTGGAACTTCTCTCAGTAGTGGTATTAATGACCTGGACCTTTTACCCAAACAAAAAGACTTCAGGACTCTTGTGTTAACAGGAGCTGCAGGGGAGTTTGTAGTACCTTAGTTTAAGTGTTTCCTTGTTATCTGTTCATAGTTTATTGTTTTTGTCAAACATTAACAATGTTCTAAGTCACATCAAAAGTTACATGGCTGAGCAGAAGCAGCATACGACCATCCGGTTTTAGTGTGCTGTGACCAATGCCCTGCTTTCTTAAACCGGTTCATTGCTACGTTAGTATTTGTGAAAAATGCTTTGCGGGATCGATGTGTCCGATTTACCATCAGAAAAAAACTGCTTCACTCTCTTCATTGTATTTTTTGTGTGTAGTTGTGTGTGCATATGTTCTTTTGAGTGTGTGTAGCCTTGTATTTGCACAGTACATTAAAGAACGTAACCTCAGTAAACACTATTGCTTTGGGCACAATCACGCTGATGGTTGTATTCAGATTCTTCAATATGGCAGTCGGGTCTCTGTTGTTCAAGGGCTTTAGACGCAAAACACCTGTTCGTTTTACCATTTACTAACTTGACTTATGCCAAAGCACTGGACAAAGACAGTATACCTCGTGTCATTAATATGTATGCAAACGTGACTTGATGTGGACCTTTCATCTGCTTTTAAAAAGCCATTAAGTCGCATTCATCATTTCTGATTGCTCACCTGGGCATGAAAGCTCCCAGTAGTCTATGTAGACAATAAAAAGAAAGAATTAAAAATTACAATATAATAACGTATGAGTTTGGCCTGCAGCTGGAGGGCATTCTTGAATATCTGATCACAAAACTGAGGCATCTATTGAAATTGAATGAAAGAAAAGTCAGTCAGTGGCGAAATCACAGAGCCAGCTGTATAAAACTCTCTTTGTTACCAACTAAAACACTGTGATTTGGTATCAATTTTGAACCTGCGGCATGAGTAAAGACATGTGTAGGCTACTTTAATTGATACTTGTTAAATCAAAATCAACCAAAGTAATTCACATATTACAATTTACATGACATAAAACCGCAACCAACAATTGCTCTCTTAATCACTTAAGCAGCTGATTATTATTTTTTTGTCAATGCAATGTTTGGTGTACAGAAAAGGCCGATTTCAATTTGATGGCCAAAGGTATGTAACCAAAAATCCACTTTCCAAAAACCAAAGATAGTCAATAAACTGTGTTGTAATTCAAATTCACACATTTAAGGATTCAGTAATAAACAGATAAACAGAAATCGGGTAGTCATCTTTTAATGGCACCACAATAAAAAGAATGAATACTTGACCCTGGATGACAACTTTGTTTTAGTATTTGTATATCCTGCATTAAATGTGGTAGTATAATGTACATTTCAAACCACACTGGCTTTACAGTACACTTCATTTAAAGGGGTTCTTTAGCAACATCCTCTCACGTGATGGTTGAGGTTGCTGTGAAGCTCACGCAGAATTTGAAATACATTTCCAAAGTGACCCCACATCAGATATCACATCAAACACATGCCACCAAAAACCCTACGCTTTACCAACGTCCTTTTCAAGTCACATGAGCTCCATGTATTACTCTTGCTTAGTCAGCAGGATGAGGTCACATTAACTGGTGACAGTGCATTTTTTTAAATATC